AGCGCTTAAGCAAAACAAGTTAGAATTTCCATGGAAACAGTCTGGAACTCTTGAAGGAGAAGAGAGGACAAAAGTAAGCATGAAAATGCATTTATTTATTTTTTGGTTCCTCTTCACCTCTGCCCCTCCAAACCTCAGGCTGTCATCTTAATGAACACTTTCAAGCCTCAGAGGGAATTAAGCACAATATTTGACAGAGGAATGAGGAAGGAGCTAAATATAGCTCCCCTGTGAGAGAAATGTGTTCCAGAATCTTCTCTTCTCCTCTTTCTTTCCCTATCTGGGCAATCTGTCCATCTTTCAGCATTATTTTTGTGCTGCTCCTGTTGCACAGTAGCTTTAGCTGTTACTTGGTTGGGACCAAATAAAGCTAACATCATGAGATACAGGATTGTCCTTCTTTGGAAGGCTCATTCAATGTGAGACGATTGAGATCAATTTCCAAATTAATAGTGCATATACATTTGTACAATTTCCATTTGCCTAATACTTCTGAATTTTTAGAAACCTTTCATGTAACTGATCCACTTAATCAACAATATGAGAGGTAGACAGAGCCACTATGTGGGGTACTATCAACTCACATCTTAGCAGGGTAATGGGTTTCAAGATCACCCTGATGGCAAGTAGAGGAACCAGGACTCAGCTAGCTCTTTGCTTCTTGGATCCACTTGTTTCTGCACCTCTACAAATATAACCCGCCTGCCTGACCACGGTAGACATTAGGCCATGGCTATTATTAGATATTAAGAACTTTTACTTTTTTATAGAAATATATGCTGTATTATAAAGTAAAAATCTTGCCCTCTCTCCAACTGCTAATATTGATATTAGTATAGATGAGAAACACCCCCAGAGAGGTACAGCCAAGCGTAGGTGGGCTTTTGGCTTTCCTGAGTATGGCTATTTTTGACAAGCTCTTCCCAAAACTGTCTGACCTATTCTTCATTGATAAATCAAATAGTGTTCATTACAGAACTCAGCAACCAGCATATGGCTTACTGAGGGCAACAGTGACCTTTCGCAAATCTGAAAAATTAAATGTAGAACATGTCTTTTGTAGTAAAATAATCCTTGATGCACTGGCTGAATTAAGTAGCTTAGAAGTTAGTTTACTGATCTAATACCTTGAGGTGCCTAATATTCCTGCCTGCGATAAGTTGGTCTCTATTTTTCTTTGGAAAATTAGAGGCAATTAAAATTTGAGATTGTGAGGGCTCCAGGATACTGGTTATCATAAAGCAGAAAGTGTGACAGGATCTGTTAGCACAACTTTCTGCTGCTCATAATTTTTGTCAAGGAACGGAGTTCAATAGAAGATCATGGGTTTGGTAAATACGAAGGCCAAGAGACCGACCAACAATTCATTCCATAATTAACATAACATACACACTTTAAGACAGTGTGTCAGCCAGATGAATTTTGCCATCAAAATGAATTTGATGTTCTAATACAGACATTATTAGATGTGTCACAACGGTGTCCACAAAAATTTAAAAGGTGACTTCCTTTTTGGTTAACTGTGGACTGCATCCCAGGTCTCTAGGATCACACCCTGGACTGAAGGCGGTGCTAAACCACTGAGCCACCCGGGCTGCCCAACTTTTCTAACTTTTGTAGGGTATTACAAGTACTACCAATGATCACTTATCTAGAGCTTACTATACGTTTGGCTTTGGCCCAAGTGGTTGATACACTGCATTTAATATCTAAATAACCATGTGACACCAGTATTATTGTCCCAATATTAAAGAAATCAATGAAAACCCATCCTCAAAGTGGATTGCAAAAAAGCAACCTACTCCATTCATACTGCTAAATAGTGGGAGATTCTAACACCAAATCTCAGTTTACCCTACTGCAGCTTCGGATGGACTGGCCCCCTCTGCAGCCCACTCTTTTGAGCGACCTTTGTTTAGTTTAAAGCAATTTTCAGTGACATGAATAGTCTTTAGGACTCACTGTTGGGGGAGAGGACCTATATCATTCACTGAACATTAAGATAGATGCTGAGTTAATGAAATTTACTTAAAGGTGTAAGAACAGGGCATCTGGAAAGCTTTCTCCTCACCAAAAGTGTTACAGGTAAACCATGGCAATTCATGCTAGTTAAAAGGAGAAGTTGTTCTACCCTTATGATAAAATTAGAAACAATCAATGCAACAGAAGTTTTTAAAAATTATATTTAATACAAGTGAATAGATTAGAAGATCTGAAATGTTATAAAGCAATATACACAATGAATAAATAATTTGCACAGGAGAGTCATGTCTACATTACATAACACTGTCTAGTATGGGAATACTTAAAAGTAAATCCAGTGATAATGGAGAAAGTCCATAAAAATGCTAACCTGTCTTCCCTTGTATGAAATTGTTCAAGTATAAAAATCCAATACAGTGTAAAATAGTATTCAATTTAGTTTAAGAATAAAAATTGCAAATATTGCAGTTTCAGAAGAAAAAAGTAAAGCAGCATTTTAAAACTACATAAACTACATAAGAATAGTGTTAAACTAACGAAGTACCAATAAATGAGATCTACACGAGCAAAAACTCAGAGAAGGAAGCATGAAACTAGCAATATCTCTCGTTTAAAAAAAAAAAAAACCTGAAAACTAAAATAAATTAAAATGTGTTAATGTAAGAGTACTCTCTTATACAGTGCACATATGAATTTAAATAAATCCAAGTCAACATCTTTCGTTGGATAGGTTAATATTTAATATGCTACATCTAGACCTACTAAATAATTTATGCCATGAGATGAATACATAATTTTACAGTGTCACATCTAAAGTTCCTTTCTTTAGAGTGCAGCATAGTAAAACTTAAAAATAAATATCTTAAATAGCATTACTATTAAGGCACAGTATAAACCACGTTATCGTTAACCTTTGCAGAACTGTCATCTCGGTCACCTTGTTGTCTCGTGTCCTGTGTTCACTAATAAATAGTCTTAAATAGGACTCTGAAATAGATACTAAAAAGTGTAAAATTATTTTAAAAGGGGGGAGGAAGGGGGGAAGTAAATGTCCTTAAGACAGTTCTTAAGGGTTTAGCGTCTGCAAACTTTGCCTGCCTTTCATTGTTAAGCCACGAGTCAACACAATAAATAAAGAGAAGGCTGTTGTAGTAAAAGCCTGATCCTATTTCAGAATCAGAACTGCTGACACCAGCAGATACAAGTTTCCCAAAATTGAAACAGGATGGGGAGAGGGATTAGAATGTGACAAGCTCATCAAACAAGCACAAGTGATGTGTTCTTTCCAGAACTGTGTGTGTTATTGATTGTCTGTACAGCTGCTGCACCCATTAATTCCACATCACTTGTCCCACAGTCCCGCTCATCCACAGGATAGATGAGAAAATCGCTTTGGTGCCTGTCCACCATTTCACCCACTGCCACGCTCCCAGGTTGATTGTTCGATGCCCCCCCCCTTTTTTTTTGAGAGAGTAAGAACGTTCTCTTCTTACCTGAAAAAGTTCTAGAAGCCATAGTGACTGCTAAACATGACAATCAGTAAGCTCTCACCATTGTGTGTGTGTGTGTGTGTTTTTTGTTTCTAAAAAAATCTTTTTAAGGTAATTCAAGCTACATATTGCTCACTCTGTATCCCCTGGTTCGACTAGCTTCAAACAGCATTTCCTAACTTGTAAAAGGCAGTTTGCTTCCCTGATACTATAAAAAGAGCACAAATAAAAACCCCATTATAAAAGTGAAGTTCCACCGGGTCCCCCCCCCCCACTTTTGCTTTGCTTCGGGCTCTTTGGGATCGATTTCCAAAACTGCGTCCACTGCCCCCTCCTCCTCCTCTCTCTCCCTCCCCTCTAGCTCTCTCTAGCTCGCTTTCATCTACGACACTACTGGAGTATAAAAAAAACATAAGAAGAAGGATTCTGCGTGAAGATAGCATAGCTTTTTTGTTGTTGTTGGTTTTGTGTATTTGTTTTTGTTGGTTTTTTTTTCCTCCTTAAAGCTGTGAAGTCGAGGTGCGCTCGCCTTACCTACTGCACAGCGGACAGGTGTGTGGGGAGGGGGGAGGGGAGGAGAGAGAAGGGGGGGGAGAGGGAAGAACGGGGGGAGGGGTAAGGGCAGCTCTGGCCCCGGACCCCCTGGCCGCCTACTGCACAGCGGGTAGGTGAGGGGGGGGTGGGGGGGAGGAGGAGAGGGGAGGAGAAGGGGAGGGGGGAGAAGAAGAGAGGGGAGAAGGGGAGACGGGAAGAAGGGTTAGGGCAGCCCCGGCCCCCCCCACTCCCACCCCCTGGCCGCCTACTGCGCAGCAGGCAGGTGGTGGGGAGGAGAAGGGGAGGGGGGGAGGGGCAAGGGCAGCTCCGGACCCCCTGGCCGCCTACTGCACAGCGGGCAGGCGGGGAGGGGGGGGCGGAGGAGACGGGGAGGGGGGGGAGGAGGAACGGGGGGGGGGCAAGGGCGGCTCCGGACCCCGACCGTGACCCGCTGGCCGCCTCCTGCACGGCGGGCAGGTGGAGGAGGGGTGCGGAGAAGGGGAGGAGGGAGGGGGGCAAGGGCAGCCCCGGACCCCGCCCCCCTGGCCGCCTCCTGCACGGCGGGCAGGTGGAGGGGTGCGGAGAAGGGGAGAGGGGAGGGGGGCACGGGCAGCCCCGGACCCCGCCCCCCTGGCCGCCTACTGCACGGCGGGCAGGTGGAGGGGTGCGGAGAAGGGGAGGGGGGAGGGGGGCACGGGCAGCCCCGGACCCCGCCCCCCTGGCCGCCTACTGCACGGCGGGCAGGTGGAGGGGTGCGGAGAAGGGGAGAGGGGAGGGGGGCACGGGCAGCCCCGGACCCCGCCCCCCTGGCCGCCTACTGCACGGCGGGCAGGTGGAGGGGGTGCGGAGAAGGGGAGGGGGGAGGGGGGCAAGGGCAGCCCGGGACCCCGCCCCCCTGGCCGCCTACTGCACGGCGGGCAGGTGGAGGGGGAGTGCGGAGAAGGGAGAAGGGAGAAGGGGGTGGGGGTGGGGGTGGGGGTGGGTGGGGAGCGGGCGCGGGCGGGCGGCAGCGGCGGCAGCTCCGGGCCCCGGGCGCCTACTGCATGCGCTCGGTCGGCAGCTGCTGCGGCTGGTACTGGCCGAAGGCGGCGGCGGCGGCCGCGGCGGCGGCGGCGGCGGCGGCCGTCCCGGGGGCGGCGGCGGTGATTGGCTGCTGCACGGCGTAGCCGTAGCCCCCCGCGGTGACGTAGCCGGCGGCGGCGGGCGAGGCGGCGTACGGGTACTGGTCGTAGGCGGCGGCGGCGGCGGCGGCGGCGGCGGCGGCCGAGTACTGGGCGTAGGCGGCGCCGGTGTAGTCGATGTACGGCGCGGTGGAGGCGGCGGCGGCGGCGGCGGGCTGCACGTGCGGGATGACCACGCCGGGCTGCACGAACGCCTGCGGGTACACGTAGTGGGCGGGGATCCTGGAGGGCGAGAGACGGGCACGCGGGTCAGGCGCCGCCCGCCCGGGGCGCCGCGCGGCTCGCGCCGGGAGAGGACACAGACTCGAATTTAGTGGTGGTTACGAGCGTAGGGTTGCCACAATATCGCTCCCGGCCGGCGGGTCGCTCGCGGGGCTCGGGCGGTAGCCGCGGTCGCGGAGCCCACCGTGCGGGGGCCCCTCCCCGCCGGACGCTGCCTTCTGCGTTTCGAGACAGCCAGGCCTGGGCTTTCTGCACCAGGTCGGCGAAGGCATTCAAGCGCAAGAGGCGCTGTGCGCGGGACAGGCACCGAACGCACATGCTGAATTGATGGAGACTTTGCAAAATTTTGTGACGAGCTCATGCCACAGAACTGTGCAGCGGAGAGAGTGACTCTCAGCTGTGCGGAGAACAGGGCTCAAAGGGTAATCCGCGATCGTTCAATTCCGTGGGAGGGTGGGTGGGGGGGCGATTTCGCAAGACTGAATTTCCACAGAATCTGCAGGCTTATTATCATGGCAACCCTACTTGAAATTGCTATGCAGACTCAGCACACATTAATCTCTCTGCAACCTCAGTCACCCTTATTAAAAAATAATGATAAAAAAGAAGCAGGCGACAAAAGAAAAAAAAAAGGAGTTTAAAAGTTCACAAGTGTGGTAAACACAGCAGAATCACACTTCTCAAACCAACTGTAGTGCAGCTCACTCTATCACAAGAGGCTGTTGTGGGAAGCTACAGAAATGCTATTAACATTCATGGCAGTGATTCCCAAAGAGATGTGCAGCACGCTTTTTGCCTTTCTTTCTTTCTTTCTCTCCATAAAACTCGTAAGGACACAAGGGTCAACCAAACCTGTTTGACTATCAGGCACCTGAAGGTCAGCCAGCCTGGTTATCTCTATGCAAGACAGACAGAAGGGGTTTTGGGGAAATGATGAGGTTGACGGAAAAGGTAGGAACAGGAATATTTCTAAAATACATATAAACTTAAAAGGTTTACATAACAAAATAAGGAAACATTTTTTTTTTTGCACAAATACTAACTCTTGTTTTATCCTCTAAATCAACGAGTAGCACTTTTGTTTTAAATCTGCCCTACTCAAAGCTATTTGATACACAGCAATTGTATTATGTATTACCCTGTAAAAGTTCAAGAAACAAAATCATGTACCTTTACAAATTATACATTCAGAAATCACATACAAGACACTGCAATGACCTAACAAGTTAATTTTGTTAAAAAAAATAAATCGCAAGAGGTATTTTTTTCAAGAAACCCATGCATTTCAGTTCTCTTGCGATTCATTATCGCAAATGCTACCATGAATATCTGATTCATTTTCATCTTTCTTTAAAGCAATCTCCATCAGAATCCCCTATATTCCTAAAAATATGACACGATAATGCCATCTGGTTGTTGGCAAAGCTGACTTCCAGGAAGTACAAGTAACCAGTAACGATCTTTACTTTAAAGAATTTTAAAGAACTCCAAACCGAAAACTTCACATAGAGATTTCCGAAAACATAGCTCTCGCTTTGCCTTCTCAGGGTTCTACTGAAAGTACTTATTAACGAACATCCATGGAAAAGATGAATTTATCAGAGGGTTGTGAACTTTGACCCAAATGATAAAAATACACTCAATTTTACTAGACTTGTAGATCTTTCCCAGTGCCGGGAGAAAAGACGTCATCAAGTGTTTTTGAGGACACTTAGAGATGTTTTTAATTGCTTGTCAGAAACCAGATGCATTGGTCATGCACATTCTCCAAACTTTTCTGTAGGTCAGGTGACTGACTCACTCACAGCGACAGGTGTGGCTTTATGAAACCCTGTCCCCAGAGGCCGCCGTGTCCACAGTGTGCAGACATGGTTAAGAGAGCCTACACTCATGCCAGTTTACATGTGGTGATAGACAGCAGGGGCTGCAGCAGGGCTATTTTTGATTCTGTCGTGCCACAAGGGTTTCCAGCGGGTAAAATGTCTTTATAAGGCCAAAGTAAAACATCTATCAGCAGCGAAGTCCAGCCAGTATGAATCTCACTGATACTGAGACATTAACCCCTGTACTCCCAAAGCTCGAAGGACAACGTGATGGTTACCAGGTTTGTGTCTTTGAATGAAGGCTGGTAACCGACAATCAGTGTGGCCTACAAAAAAAAAAAAAAAAAAAGGGCAGGATAAAATTGTGTGTGTGTGTGTGTGTGTGTGTGTGTGTGTGAGTGAGTGAAGAATGCACTAAAAGATAGGCAGTGTTGCTTACAGGACTCTTGTCTCCACACTGATTTTACATTAATAGTTTTCATTTGATAATGCCAGCCAATGAGAGTGGAGTGTTCCCTGGCATATCAGAATCCTACATGAAGTCTGGCAAGGGTTAGGAATACGTTTGGAAGGCAAATGAAACCCTAGAATCGTTAGGGGCTTAGGGAAAGGAGAGCCCAGAAGCCCATGGAGAGCCTCAAATGCCTCCGTTCAGGAAGGACAGCAGGAAAGGTCTTTTACTAGTTTAAGGAGCCCGTGAAGGCAATCTGGACTCTCTCCTCCCGTCAGCTACCTACCAGTATCCCTTCCCTCAATCAGTCACACAGGGTGTGCACCTAGCAGTTACAAAAACACAAGAACAAGCCGGATACCTTGGGCAATTTTCAAAGAAAACTGACCATCCTTTTCTTTTTTACGTCCCTCTGACATCTGTTTGTGACTTTTGACCTCCTAACTGGTTTCCTCTTCCAGTCTATCACCAGACTGCTGGCAAAGTCTTCATTTCATTCACTTGTTCGTAGTAACCTGTGGCCCCTAACATACCAAACTAAGTGCAGATTTCTTAAACTTCAGCATGCTGGGCTTTTTATGCTTTGGGCTCCGAAACATTTCTTTCAGTATTTCTTTCCACCTTTCCTTGAACCTGGGTCAGCTGGACTCCTCAATCCTCCCTGGACAAGGCACACATTTCTAGATTCTCACCTTTGCTCATGCCATCCCTTTGCCAGGGACACCAATCCTCATTCCATCTCTACCTGTTGAAATCCAAATCCTATCCGCCCTAGCTCTAGCACTCACTATGTATAGAGCCTTCAGGAATTTGCTTCACTTTCTGTCTCACATTTCTCACATCTGAAAAGAATCTACTATTTCCAACCCTGAATTGTTGTGTATTAAATAACATTATCTATGCACAGAGTCTGAGATGATGAATAAAGTAGGCACTCAGTACGACAGTACTTTATCCTCCACCATCCTTTAAAATCTAGGTAACTTTGACCTCTTTCATGAAGACTTCTTGGGTCCCACGAACCTGATGTCTCTCCTCCCAGTCTTAAGCCACAACCCTTCTGGGGGCTTCTCAGTTTTCTTACTAGACTACCAGAGAGAATAGAGTTGTGTCTTTTTGGCTGTCACTTGACACAGAGGAAAGAACATGGCTTTTGAGGTCCTGGAACCAGACTCTAGGACTTACTAGCTCTGTGGCAAGTTAATTAACCTCTCTGTATCTCAGTTTTTTTTCACCCATGGAAAGGACATTCACAGGCTGACATAAACAGCCTGCATCCAATAAGTATTGTGGAAATTACATGATTTATGTAAATCTCTTATTATTACCAGACATGCAGCAGATGTTCACTTAATGCTACTGCCCCTCCTGCCCCCTCCTAGTGGCCAGTATAGGATCTAGTACAGTGTTAACCCAACTAGCATAAAACTGAGCACTTTTTAAAGGCAGAGTGAGTAAATGTTTAAGAGTATTTGAACTTGACCTACACCAGCCTAAAATTTTCTACTCACAGATGCATAGTCTTTTCTCTCTCAGGTTTCAATAAGAAGATGCTTCTTGCAAACAAAGTATTTATAAGACATTGTTTAGCAAATACACAAGTTTCTATACATCTGCCCACTGTGTGACATCAAAAGTTCCTTCAAGGCAAGATTTTGGCTTGAAAAGCCCAGAGTAATCTGGGGTTCATTTCAGGACCACATTAAAAAAAAAAAAAAAAAAAAAGTTCAGTTACTAGAATTTCAAGCAAGTCAAGTAAGATTAAAAATTCTCAAGCTTCTTTCCAGGCCTAAAATAAGAATGTGTGGCATCCCAACAGAATTGAGGATGACCATGTGTGATTTGTTATGTACAGACTCTGGGAATTAGAGCAGTGTTAAGAACCCCTTAAAAAAGAAAAGAGAAGGCTCACTTGGTCCACCTGGAATGCTATCTATTTCTAATAAGAATCTCAAGTTCAAACAACTATGCAAGCAATAATAATCACCATCCTTTATAAAGACAGCTCAATATTAGTAGGGATTAATGACTAAAGGTTACTATCAAAGCATGCTTGATTTAAAGTTTCCACAGGACATTTTATTCTGGTTCTTATTTTCCTTGTGCTTTCTTTCTCAAGGACCGATACAGACTACCACAGCCAGTCCAGAGTTCTATGTCTAGCTCTCAGTATCCTCCATAAACAGTCTCTGTGCACTAAATCTTTTCTCTGGCCTTTGCTTATGCTCACCTCATCCTATAGCCCCCAGGCATGTCCCTTCCTCCTACCTGTCCAGGATATGGCCCACTGGTCCAAGACTAGTTAAGGACCCATGGAGCCTGGCCCAACCTTCTCCAATTCACCTGTTTTCGTGCTATTCTGAATTTCTTTTGTCCTTAACACCAAGTATTTTAGCCACTAATAGTTCTTGATTGGTTTGTGTTAGTTTTGCTTCCCCAACTGCAGTCTCACCCTTAGCACAGAAAAAAAATTAACACAGGCTAAGACCTGTTGATCGATTTAGCTGTGTAACTGTTTCAAGACTATTATTGTGAGATCATGACTAAGTTCATCACCACTTCTTAGGATGGCTGTTCTCTTCCCCATCCCACCTTACATGTGGTCTAGACCAATGAGGAGAGGACCTGCAGAAGTAGCTGGACCCATCAGCCCACACTATCTGTTGTGGGTACCTAGGATGGTTGGGATGGGGCACTGATAAATAGCTATGGATATATAAAGGCCCTTTATAATCATACTGGACAAAATACTCTTGCACGGTTTAAAAAGGTAAGAGTTGGTGGTAAGGTGAAGTATCCCAATGTTAAAAGGAGGGTTACACGAAGGTATTGGTGGAAGACATAACTTGACCCTTCCAAGTCAAATGATTTTTACTTTTTCTGGTCTATCCTTGGAGACACACAAGGCAGATTCTAACTCTACCTCTATCTCTATTATCTCTATCTAGAATCTGACCTTCCAGGTTACACATGTAGATGCGTAGGTGCTAAGCTAGAGAAGAAACTATAGCTGAGGATAAAACTCTTCTTGGACAATTAGAATATTTAAAAAGGAAGCTGAAATCTCTGATAGATACTAGAGTTATAGCAATGTTGTTCAGATAGAATACAGCCAAAGCAGACCACAAAACAGTGGTCCGAATAAAGTTAGGGGATAGGGATCTTCCACTTACGATAGGGAGCTCAGAGGAGGGAAGCTGGTGATCACAGAGCCCAGAGGGAAGACAAGTACCAGCAGCTTGTTCTCCCTAGTTAGGTCTGAAAGGTGAAAGTTAGTGCTACTCTACTCAAAAAACTGGCTAGTGTCAGTGAAATCTGATGAGTGTTGTTGAACCTTTAAATCAGAAGGCCTAAAAGTGGATACACATTGCAAAAGAAAGAATCCCATTCCCAGAAAACTCCCCAGTAAAACAGAAACTTAGGACATGCAAGCAATGAATCTGTATTCTCACAGAGGGAAATCACACAATTTAGCACTCACTACAAAAATGTGGTTAAGTGGAAGTCACAGGCTACAGCTTAAAAGCAAGAAAAAAAAAAAAAGGCCCTTTGCTTCCCATGGCAAAGTCAAAAGTCAACACTCCTCAACACCACCACCAAAACCAAAAACACAAAGAGCCCCTTCCCCGAGGAAAAGAAAAACACTTTCACTACAGCTCTTTTCAATTAAGTAAAAAGCACACAGTTTAGCTATCAACACCACTTCATTACTGTAATAAATAAAATAAAGCACACGGAGGTCTATTCACTATGGTGAAAAATAAAACAACAACACCAACATCCATGCATCGTTAATCACCATCTGAGCTTGTGTGTCTGAGTCTACTGGTTACAGAGTTTAATTCCAAACAGAACTATTCCACCTCTTATCATCGTATCCTTCTGATCAGTTAGCTTAACTGTATACGAGCCCTGTCAGGTTAGAAAGAGATAAATAACATTGAGTCACGTTGAACAGTAGTCATGGGCTGGGACATACTCGTCTCGTACACAAGTCCTACCTGGTATTTTTGTTTTTGTTTTGTTTTGTTAATCATAAGCTCAAAATTTGTCTGTTTTGGAGGCTGCATACGTGGTCAGTAACTTGACTCATCTAAAAATATTTATATTATCAGCATCAAAAAAGGTACAAACATATATATATATATATAAATATGTATAACAAGGAACATTCTGTGACATGATGGTCTTGTCTGTATATAACAAAGAGGCATATTAACAAATAACACCTATCAAAACATAGGAGGAGGGCCTGATTTGACTTACCCGAAAGGTCTTTGTATAAGGGCTGGATGAAGTTGTTGCACACCGAAGGCAAAACCTAACAATAAAACATACCACATTCTCCGTTTGTGCACTGTTGAGCATTTATTACTCCTACATGTAATATGCAATCACAACATTCACTCAGAGATGATCACCATTCTTTGGATGCTTCAGAGAAAATACTACATATACATTGCAAAGTTCTCTTTACTAATGTTATCATTGGCCCAAGTAAAAATTTTAGTCGGCTACAGGTGGAAACTAAAAATTATCTACAAAGTTTAGTTGACAGCCAGTCCTACGATAAGACCTTAGAAAATTAGACCAGGGAAAAATTCTTGTGGATTGAAACCAGGAGCAACAGGACTTGATAATGAAGTTACATGTCGCAAGTATGCCTGCAATTCTGAATCACGATCTATTAAAAAAGTCTTTGTAATTTGGAACATGCTGGACAATGTTTTGGAAGATTATGGGTTTTACAGGTTATGGTATTAAACATTCACACACAAAAAGTCTCCTTTTCTGGATAGCACACACACACAAATACAAGTTTTTTGTTTGTTTTTTAATATTCATGGGTATTAGCACATGCCCTCATTTTCCTGACAATCTAGTTTCCTAGTAAATCCATTTGGATGGAAGTGTCAACCTCCTTCCAAAATTTCAGATGGAAACACTTGAGTGAAGAGTACATGACTTAACAAAGTTGCTTACCCAAGAAAAAGATTGCCATTTGCTCAACAGTCAACTCTTAATTATTTGTGCTAATGCCAAGGGCAGTGTTGTAAATAACCCAGAAGGTCAAATTTTCACACAGACAAAGGCCTGCTCCCTTTTGACAACTAATAGCTGCATGACTTTGGAGTAAAACATTTCCCATCTCTAGGTGCCAGTTTCTTTATCTGTTAACATGAAGGCCTGGGCATACATGAAATCTCCCCATTTTCTTTAATTATTAATAGTCTGTGATTTTTATGGTAAAGCTTTACCATCCACACCCCACCCCCCACCCCCATGCTTCTCTTGGGTCAGTGCTCAAGTTGGATCACCAGCTCTGAGCACAGGGCAAGTGGTGGTAGGAGAGACAACCCTAGGGGAAGCATGACCAACGGGAGGTGACACGTTTGGCCCACACAGTCCACATGTGAATTATCTACAAGTGGTTAAAAACTGGAAAATAAAAGAGTAGACTGACTGTATGTCATACCTGAGCCAGATGAGTCAAGCCTAAGTCTGGATGGGTACAAATTGTCCAGACCCCCAAGATCTACTTTTGCACATAGGTACATTTCAAGTCCTGCAAGAGCCGGTTACAACATTCATTTAATGTCTTGGTAGAATAACCAGCCACCATTCAACTTTACTAACCACATTTACAATGTGTCTGAATCAGGGATTCATTCTGTTTAGAAGGGGGAGGGGGCTCAAGTTTGGGGGTGACGGGGTAGGAGGAACATCTCTCACCTGGCTGCATGATCCTGGGTTTTGCTCCCAAGTATGCCAGGTTCACATTGGCCTTCCTGCCATCAATGATGGGGTTCGGATCCTTGCAGGCTCTTTCGGCAGCAGCTCGGTCAGCCATGGTGACCTTAGCAACATACACACACAGACATACGTACACATCTCTAAATCAACCCCTGAAGGAAACCAAAAATTACACTGGAGAAGTCATTCATGAGAGAACTAAGGGGGGTTCTTAAACTTTTTTTTTTTTTTTTTTTTGTGGAACTTACTCCTTGATCCCACGTCAAAAAAAAAAAAAAAAGAAAAGAAAAGAGGAAAAAAGAAAAACAGGAAGAAAGAAACACCCCCCTCCCCACACCCCAAAGTCTTCAGGGCGCTAGTAGGGCCTAGCAGCGAGTCGGAAGCCTGAATTCCGTCTTGGAACTCTTGATCCTCCCTCCACCGCCCCCCCCCCCCAACACACACACCCCAGGTCCCTACCCAGCCTAAAAGGGCTGTTTGATTTAAAGAAAGTCCAGCCTCACATCCGCCCGCTGCTCCCAACCTCCAGCAAGCACTCCCTAACGACAATAGCTATTGTCCTACTCTGGAGCTCCCTGCTCTCCGGCAGCTGAATTTGCACGCTTAAATCCCCAGGAGGCTTAATATGCTCTCTTTCAGTTCAGCAAAGAGCCACGGGATCGTCTTTTTAAAGAATCCATCTTTGCAATTAAAAAAAGAAATGTGTGTGTGTGGAGGTGGGGTGGGGGTGGCAGGAGGAGCAGAGCCCTGGACCTCCTGGGGGAGGGGGTCCCCTCCCCGCCCCGGCCAGAACGCCCGAGCACACGCATTTTTACAAAGCAACAGCGCGCTGAACGCCCGGCCTCCACCCGGGGAGCGCGGCTCCGAGCGGCTGCGGCCCCTCCCTCGCGACCCTGCGCGCCCGCAAATCCAGCCCGGGGTAGTCCGCTCGGGCCGGGCCCGCGGCACCGCGGGGCGTCGGGTCCCCGCGCAGCGCCGCCAGGCAGCGGCCGGCCCTCCCTCCCCCGGCTCCGCCGCGCTCAAACTTTCAGCTCCGCCGGGAGCAAGGGGCAGCGCCGCCCGCGCCCGCGGGGTCCCCGCGTCGCTCCGCCGCCCCCCCAGCGCCCCCCCCCCCGCTGCACGCCCCGACCCCAGGCCCCCGCCGCCCCGCGCCTCCGGCCCCCGCGGGCCTCGGCCTCGCAGCCGGGCCCCGCGCCGCCCCGCGCCGCCCCCCCCCCCGACCTCACCCCGGCCCCCGGCCGCGCGACTTACGAATCCGTAGCCCCGGGACTTGCCGGTCTGCCGGTCGGTGATGACCACCGCCTCCTCGATCTCGCCGAAGACCTCGAAGTACTTGCGCAGGCTGGCGTCGGTGGTGTGGTAGGGCAGCCCCCCGACGAAGATCTTGGTGTACGTCGTGTCCTTCTGGGTCGTGTGCATCTTCGCGCCCGCCCCGCGGCTCGGGCTCCGGCTGCGGCTGCGGCTGCGGCTGCGGCTCGGGCAGCGGCTGCGCCTCCTCCTCCGGCTCCGCGTCTCCCGCACCCTGTCGCGGCCGCCGGGGGCCGAGGGCGAGCCCGGGGGCGGGGGCGGGGGCGGGGGCGGCGCGGCGGGGGCGAGCGGCCGGGGGCGGCCGGGGGCGCGGGGCGCGCGGCTTGCGAAGTCGCCAGCAGCCCCCGAGGCTTGACTCCGCTCTCTCCTCCCGCCCCCCCTGCCGGTCACGGTACAAATTCTCCGGATCGTCCGGGTGCGGATCCCGTTCTGGAGGATGTGCGGGCGGTTTCCACTCACCCGGCTGGGAGGCCAAAAAGGAACGGAGAGGGTGGTCCCCGAGCGGAGAAGCGGGCGCGTAGTAGAGGTAGATTTTCTTTTTTTCTTTCTTTCTTTCTTTCCTTCTTTTTTTTTTTTTTCCTTTCTTTCTTGGAAATTAGGTAGGTGTGTTGGGTGGGGCGCGGGTGGGGTCGGCGGCGAGCGCGTCCGGGCGCGGGGGCGGGCGGGGGGCGCGGCGGCGGCGGCGGCGGCGGCGGCGGGGCCGGGCGTGGGGGACTCCGCGCCGCTCGGGCTCGGGCTCCGTCCCTCCCGCCGCGGAAGCTGGAAGACAAGTGGCGAGGACGGCTCTCCCCGTCTCTGCTCCCTTCCCCCGCGGGCCGGGGGTCGGCGCCCGGCTGGGGAGGGGGCGGGCCGGACGCCTGCGATTGGCCGCGGCCGCACCTGGGGTGCCCGGCGCCGCCGCCCCCCAGCTGTTGGGAACAGCTGCTTCGCTGCCGGCGCGGCGCTGGGCCGCGGGGCTCGGGCTCCGGAGCGGGCGCCGGGGCAGGGCCGGGGCAGGGCCGGGGCAGGGCCGGGGCAGGGCTGGGGACGGCCTGGCTCTCGGCGTCGCCTGCTCTAACCCGTCCGAGTCCCGGGGACCGAGCCGCGTAGCTCTGCACAGCGACGCCGCGAGCTCTGCGCTCGGCCGCGGTGACCCGGCCGGCGACCCGGACTCCAGAGCTGGGGGCCGGGAGCCCGGGGCGGCTCGTGGGGAGCCCGGGGCCCTCCCTCCCGGGCGCGGGGGGCCGGCGCGCCCCAGTCGGTGCTCCGGGCTCCGGAGAGTGGGGAAGGAGGGTCCCTAACCTTCCTCGCCCCCCCCCCGCCCCCCCAAGAGCCAGTGCTGGGGAAAACCAGCGAGGCAGAGCCAGAAGGAAGCAAAACAAAACAAAACAAAACAAAACAAAACAAAACAAAACAACCACCACCAATAACAAACACCAACCAGCGAACAGGTCCAGGGCTCGGGTGCGCTTGGAGAAAACCATTAGCTTTAACCGCTCACGGCCGCAGCCAAGCCGAGTAACCGTAGGTGGACACCACGTTCTAGTTCAGGGGCCCATACATTAGCCCTTGAGCTCCTACGCTTATCAAATTGGTGTTACCTCCCGACTTACTCCTCTCTAACCATTCGGGGAGATTGGTACAGATTTCTCATGATAAGTCTTTTTTTTTTTTCTTTTTCTTCCCAAAGCCATGAATTAATCTATTTCCTAACATTTGAATCGCAAGAATGTTTGGTGACTTGACCTCAACTGTTTTACTAGGATGTACTGTAATTGTAAAAGGTGTGATTTTTGAAATCGACTTGTTATGTAACCACTCGTTTCGACCAGCAGACCTTTAAAGCGTTTGTAAAAAAAAAAAAAAAAATAACAGACTTTAGTGCAACCCAGATGTATTTATTTTTTAATATCGGCTCTTGGCAACTTCTTTTTTTTTCTTTTTATCAAGAGTACATTTAATTAAGCATAAAATCCTTGTCATGTTTGAGATTTGGATGAAGGTATTTCATGTGAGCAGAATATTCCACCCACCCCTGTTGCAGCATGATTTGCTTTTAAGTCATTTCCATCAGGAGTGTCTGCTGAAGTCCATACATTAATTGCCCCTGGGCTGCATCATTTATTTCCTTTAAAGCAGGTCAGTATGTTAACCTATTAGAGAAGCACATACTTGTGTTTCTCTTTCCAGGGCACCTTTGCAGTCAGCCCAGAAGGATGTGATACATTGCATTTGCAGAAGCTAAGGGGAATGCAAATATCCTCGTGCTTTTCACCTTGTTCCCTTCTGCAAGAAGTTGGCCTCATGAGTTTCTTTAAATTTGAACCCCTAGTCGGTGATAGGGAGAAATAAGAAACCTAAAGTTTTGGGGAGAGTGTTTTAAAAACCCTACTGAAGAAAAATAAGGTATTTTACAGGCATATGAGAGCCAGGAACAGAAATTGTAAATAGCACCCTCTTCTCATTGCTTAAGCAAAGCACAAGTTTGAAAGGGACTCTGTGTACTGGTATGATGAAAGGTAATTTTTAAAACTTAGAAAAACAAAGCAGGCTATGAAACAAAGGAGGCATGTTTTTTAATATTCAACATCCATCTTGCTGGGTCACCGAAGAATTACTGTACTTAGATGAAGCTCAGGCAAAAACTTCTGTGAGATGGAAACTACTTGCAGAGAAGCCTGAAGAAGCCTGACTTTGGCTGTCTCACGTCTCTTCCTACCTGGAGGAGGAGCCCACCCCGGAGGGGACTGTGATAATATCACGGGTGGAGAGTGTCTGGGAATGTAGCCAGCAGCTTGGATGTTCACTAAGTAAAGTGGTGAGATCTACAAGGAAATTCTTATCCCAGGTTGGGATAGCCGTGTCATAGAACTCGGCTTCTGGAAATAAGATGCTTCCCTGCCATGGTCCCAGAGAAAATAATGCAGCCACCCTCCCTGCACCCCATGCCCCGCTGAGGGGTGTGCTTTTTTATTCTTTCCATCCAGCCAGTAAATATTTGATAGTCTGGTTTGAAACTTTGTTTCATCCCATATGAAATGATGCCTGAATATTCCCGATTTTGAACTCCACAGATAATTAAAACATTACTAATCATCTGGTGTTATGTGATTGAGAACAAAGAGGAAAAGATATTCCTTATTTTCCAGAAGCAGATTTACACAGAAGCCCTAATGCCTACCCAGTTCAGCCTGACCTACCCTGGAGCGCCCCCCACAGGCAGGCTCTGTGCTAGGGCGGGCGAGGCGTTCTAGACCTCGGGGTTTGTGTTACATCTGCGCAAAGGTGGGTACAGTTACAAGGGCCAGAACCATTCTCGGTGGGTCTGTGAACCTGAGCCATCAGACCATGTAGCCTTGGGGCCGTAAAACCTTCCTGAAGGCAAACTTTCAAGGTTATTAAGTACCAAATATTTCTGTATAATTACCCATTACAAAGTCAAGTTTGAAAAACAATACTTGAGTAATCCTTTTGCTTTCTCAGCTGCTTTTGGCAGAGAAGAACGCTTGTATATTCACAGACCTTGTGCAATATGATGTGTACTTCTTTGGAAAGAAAGAACCGTAAAATACTTTAAAAGTTATAAATAGGTTCCAAGCTTGTCATATCCAAATTAGTACATATGGATGGCCCTGAATCCTTGGTTCCTACTCCATGGCAAGATCGATACTATTTTATTACTCACAGTAAATTATTGTCCACTTTGTTCAAACTCTTTATTTGGCTACTAAGGGACAGTACCAAATGGACAAGTTTTGCATTCTTTTATCTATTTTCTCCTCCTCATTCCCTTAAATTAATCATGGGAAATCAACCCCAGGGCTAAGGCTTATGAAGAATTTTGAGAAAAGAAATAATATGAAGGTAGAGAAGCACTCCTCCGGCTCATGGAGGTGCCTGCTCCAGAGATAGCATTGCTTTGGATAGTAAGTCACCCATGGGCAGGGTTGCTGCTCCACCCCCCCCCCAATGCCACTGTATTTCCTGTGCAGCAGTGAGATCTTCTGCAGAGTTCTACATATAAACACTGAAGAAATATTTACTGAAGAAAATTGGTCGCCAAAGCCATCTACCTGCAAGCTTGATGGGGAAAAAATACGTTCTTAAAAAAAAATTAAAATTTAAAAATTTTAAATTTTTAAAATTTTAAACTTTTAAAGGTTTTATTTATTTGACAGAGAGAGAGAGAGAGACAGAGAGAGAGAGAGCACAAGCAGGGGGAGAGCCAGAGGGAGAGGGAGAAGCAGACTCCCCGATGAGCAGGGAGCCGGATGCAGGGCTCGATCCTAGGACCCTTGGAATCATGACCTGAGCTGAAGGCAGCTAACCCACCAGGCCACCCAGGCGCCCCCATACACATTTGTGATTAGAACTGCCCATGTGTAGTGTAGTTAGGCCGGATATTCTTTGTTTGTTTTGTTTTGTTTGTTGTTTTTGAAAAACAAAAATATGGCTTCATTGACATTTTTTGTTTTGGTCATTTGGAAACATCTATCTTTTTCTGAGAGTCTGTGTGAACATTCTGATGTAAAGCCAACAGGTTTTCTGGCCTTTTGAGAGAAGTCCCATGATCAGCTGTATTTCTGTTTCTCTGGGTGGGTTGGTAATTTTCTCTTAGTAACAGATAACAAATGTGGTAATAGGTTATGCTGCTATTTTAGTGTGCAGAAGAATTGGCAGTCAGAAACCTAGTCAGTTCAGCTCACATCCACCTCTGGGCAAATTCTATTCATGCTGCATTAAACCACATCTAAGCTGGTAAGAAAGTGGAATGGAAATTTGTAACTGTTATTCACTCATTAAAGTCATAATGCTTCTTTTACATCAACATCCAGAAAACAGAAAGCAGGATAGGAGAACGGGGGAAGAGCAAAAACCAAAGTAAGGAGGTCAAAGGAGCTCACTGCCAATGTCACCCTACCAAGAGTCGTCCCTTGCCCTCTTGGAAATGACATTAAGTGTATGCACACTTTAAAATCCTAGTATAGAAATCTGAAAGGGAAGGCAGAGAATATAAACATTTTAAGCTCACTGGGTGCTTCTTCACATTTTAAATTCAGGGAGTACTTCGGTTTTAAGTCTTTAAACAGAGAGTCTCAGAGCTGCCAAGTTATTTTTACGGAGCGGATGATACTCTCCAAATGTATTGAATGACTCTCTCTTGATGACAGATTCATTCTAATGATGTTGCTTTTGTGCTGAGCAGAGGACACAGCGTGGTGGAAATAGCCCTGGATCCCCAAACCTAGGAGACCTAGGGCCTCACCCAGGCATCAT